AAGCACCTTGCATCTGTTGTACGGAAGATCTTACCAAAGCAGATTGCCGACTGTGTTTGCCAGGCTGGCTCACGCCTTGCCCATCTTTATGGACTCCCTAAGACACACAAAGAGAATCTATCGATGAGACCTATCCTATCTGCCACCGGCACTTACAACTATGCCCTCGCCAAGTGGCTTGATGACAAACTGAAGCCCCTGTCAAGCAATCGCTACACAATATCAGATACCTTCTCCTTCGCCGATGAGATTCAAAACCTACTCATCGACGAGAATGACATTCTGGTATCTTATGACGTCACGTCACTATTCACTAATGTGCCGCTTCAAGAAACGATCGAAATCATCGCTGAGAAGGCGTTCGCTGACAACTGGTTTAATACTACACACGACCTCAGCATTACAAAGCCTGAACTGGTTCAACTTCTAGAAGTTGCAACTATGAATCAACTACTCCAATTTGATGGCAATCTTTACGAGCAGATCGACGGTGTGGCCATTGGTTCTCCATTGGGCCCACTTATGGCAAACGCATTTCTCTGTTTTATCGAAGAGAAACTAGATCAAGACAACAAGCTCCGAAACGTTGTATGTTTTTCTCGCTAATATTTATTCTTAAATGTCTAACAAAATCTAATGTAAATCAGTATTAAGCCAAAAAAAATTTAATAAATTTTGGTAAAGAACGGGGTAAGAGTCTTACCTTTTTTCTTTTCAATTTTTTCTCAGATTTTATTCTAACCTATGGTTTCTCCGATGCGTGGATCAATAATTTCCTTGGATCTGGCTATTGGATTACTGTTATTTGTTGTGGTTTCCCTATCCCTCGTAATACTGCTGCCCTCAATTTTACTATCAAGAAGATGTGAAGAAGTCTTTTCTTCTTTAATCTCGCTTATTCCCGTTACAGCTTCAAATTGATGAAGGAAACTTTCTGTTTCCGGGGACGGGTTTGATTCCTACTGCCGCTCGTCTGACAAGTTAAAACATCTACGAAAGGGAGGCGCTGTTTCTTTCGATCCTGAAGGCGCTGCCTTTGGTTGTATTTTTCACTGATGCGGCCGATATTCGAATTTTTGTCCTTTCTTGTTTGGGTCAAAGTGATGCAACATGGCTTGTTCGTGAATCTTTCGATGTTGTTTGTTTCAAGAAAAGATGAAACTACTTCTACCATCGAGATACTCCTCACCGAATTGTGAGAAAACTTTTCTCTTTGCCCGGCGTGAAATACGATTCTCTTCGTTCTCACCCTTGTACTTGTCATCTCCCCCGATAACGATGATGACATTTCCTCCTATGGATAAAGCAAATTCAAATAGAAGGAAGTGTCACATCATATCTCTTAATATGTCTTATGTTTAGCGGTTAGTTAGGCCCTGGTCGCACTACACCAAAAACTTTGGTTTGTTGTTTGCAAAACAAATAAATTTTGTAATAACGAATTTTTTTTGTATTCGTAAGAGCGTTCGCACTTGAAACATGCGGACTATTTGTATCCTCAAATCAATCAATCGAAATAGATACCCAAATTTCATGCCAGTGTGTTTCCTTTAAAGTAGGAAAAACATATACATTTTTAATTTCCTGAAAATTTAAAGTAACTAACAATCTATCAACGTTTTTATCAAAATTTTCTTTCGATATCTTTTCACTTCAGTAGATAGAAAGCAAAAGGTAATTTGAGAGTAGAAGGGAAAGCCTGAGATGGATGACACTTCATGTGAACTTCTTCTCGTCACCCAGTCGACAGATTTGGACAGTTCTGAAAACGCTCATTTGATATCAAGTATACTTACATAAGTTCTTTCCGAAAGCTAGGAGGATTGCTTTTATAATTTATTTTGAGTTAAAATGTATTAATCCTTCTAAAGTGTTCTCACTTTTGTCTAAGCTTTGTAAATCGAAAGCCACAGGCTTAGATATGATATC